GTGTCTGAAAAATTTTATTTAGGTTATGCATTCTCAAATATAATCTTCATCAAAAAATGGTACCGCTTGTTGCATTAATTTCTAAAAATCATGTATTAATTTTATAATATAAAACATAAATAAAAATATCAATTTTTTACCCATCCCGGCCCCTCGGTGAACCACTGCATGAGCGGGGGGCTTTTTGACATCGTTTTCTTTCCCTTTTCTATTTTTTCAGGCTATTTTTTTGCAGGCATGGCCAAAAAAAGTAAGGATTGTGTCTGCAAAATGTCAAAATTTTTGACGTCATTTTTATCTTATTTTATTTTTCAAAGACGAAAAATAGAGGAAATCATAAAAAATTAGAATATTCATCAAATAATGGTGCCGCTTATTGTATTAATTCCTAAAAATTGTGTATTAATTTTATAATGTGAAACATATATAAAAATCTAAAGTTTTGACCTACCCCAACCCCTAGTCACCCCACAACGCAGGCCAGAGTCTTTTACAAACCGTTTTACTTTTTTTTTTTCATTTTTGAGGAATTTTTTTGGAGGCATGCCCAGAAAAATGTAAGGATCGTGTCTGGAAAAGTTTATAATTTTTTGAAGTCGTTTTTATTTTTCAAATATAAAAAATAAAGAAAATCATTAAAAATAAAATATTTTTCAAAAAATGGTGCCGCTCGTTGACCCATCCTGAGCCATGGGCGCCCCACTACGCGGGTCAGGGGCTTTTTTTTTACAGTGTTTTACTTTTTTGTCATTTTTTCAAGCCATTTTTCGCCAGCGTGCCCAGGAAAATGAAAGGATCGTGTCTGCAAAATTTAATAATTTTTTGACGCCGTTTTTATTTTCTTTTATTTTTCAAATACGTAAAATAAAGAAAATCATAAAAAAATAGAATATTCATCAAAAAATGGTGCCGTTTGTTGCATTAATTCCTAAAAATCGTATATTAATTTTAGAGTGCAAATCATAAATAAAAATGTAAATTTTTAACCTATCCCGGCCCCTGGTCACCCCACTACGAGGGGCAGGGGCTTTTATACAACCTTTTTCTTTTTATTTTTCATTTTTGAGGCATTCTTTTGCAGCCATGCCCAGAAAAATGTAAAAATCGTGGCTGCAAAATTTTATAATTTCATGACGTCATTTTTTTATTTTATTTTTCAAATACAGAAAATAAAAAAAATCATAAAAAATAAAATATTCATCAAAAATTGGTGCTGCTTGTTGCATTAATTCCTAAAAATGGTATATTAATTTTAGAAATCAAAACATAAATAAAAATGTAAATTTTTTACTCATTCCGGCCCTTGGGCGCCCCACTACGCGGGCCGGGGGCGTTTTGACAGTGTTTTACTTTTTTTTTTGTCTTTTTTTGAAGGCGAGCCCAGAAAAATGTATGGATCGTATCTATAAAATTTTAGAATTTTTTTACGTCGTTTTTATTTTATTTTATTTTTCAATAACAAAAAAAAAAAGAAAATCATAAAAAAATAGAATATTCATCAAAAAATGGTGCCGCTTATTGCATTAATTCCTACAAATCGTATAATAATTCGTTTTGTTTATTATATTTTATTTTATTTTTCAAAGGCAAAAAATATAAAAAATCATGAAAAATAGAATATTCATCGAAAAATGGTGCTGCTTATTGCATTAATTCTTAAAAATCGTGTATTAGTTTTAGAATGCAAAAGATAAATAAAAATGTAAATTTTTAACACATCTTAGCCTCTCAGCACCCCACTAGGACTTTTTGGCAGCATTTTCTTTTTTCATAATTTGATGCAATTTTTTGTACTCATGCTCAGAATAACGTAAGAATCGTGTCTGTAAAATTTCAGAACTTTTTGATGTCATTTTTATTTTATTTTATTTTTCAAAGACGAAAAATAGGGAAAATCATAAAAAATAAAATATTCATCAAACAATGGTGCCACTTGTTGCATTAATTCCTAAAAATCATGTATTAATTTTAGAATGTGAAACATAAATAAAATGTGAATTTTTGACCGATCCCGGCAACTTGGCACCCCACTGCGCGGGCTGGGGGCTTTTTGGCAGCGTTTTCTTTTTTCATAATTCTATTCCATTTTTTGCAGGCATGCTCAGACTAATGTAAGGATCGTGTCTACAAAATTTCAAAACTTTTTAACGTCGTTTTTATTTTATTTTATTTTTCAAAGATGAAAAATAGCAAAAAACATAAAAAGGGTATAAATGTTACTCACCCATCACAAGGAGATTCTATAACTCGATGGATGTTACCTTCCTTGAGGAACAACCCTACTACCCAAAAACTAACGTTGAGGGGGAGAGTGCGTCAAAAGAACATCAGTTTTGGGACATCATTGAAACTCAACCCTATCATGACCTTCGTGTTCTTGATCCAAATCCAATCACCCAGTCTCTCGAGTCTCTTGTGGAAGTCCTTTTTAAGAATCCACCTCAAGAGTTACTAAACAAATTTTCATCACACCATTCTCTTGCTAAAAATAGTGAGCTCCGTGTTTATTCCAGAAAGAAATGGCATCTAAAGGAGATAGAACAACACGCACTCCCTCAGCAAGTCTAAGAGTCGGAACCAACTCCAAGTCCTTCAAAAGTAACTCCCAACCTGACTCTTCCATTCTTGAGCTGCATGATAATCAGCCCATTGCCGTAAGAAAAAGGAGTGAGATCCTGCACAAATCATCTTGTTTATAACTTGTTGTCTTACAAAAGATTATCTCCAGAATATCGTGCTTTTGTCTCCAATCTTGACAAGATACAAGTTCCCAACAACATTCATGAAGCCATTGAGATACCACATTGGAAGGCAGCTATTATGGAAGAAGTTTGGGCCTTAGAAAAGAACAATACATGGAGATAGTTGACTTGCCACAAGGAAAACGACCCGTGGCCTGCAAATAGATATTCACGATAAAACACAAGTCAAATGGAAGTGTGGAACTATTCAAAGCCCGACTAGTTGCAAAGGGATTCACGCAATCTTATGGCATTGATTACCAGGAAACATTTGCTCCGGTTGCTAAACTCAACACTGTAAGAGTTCTTCTATCCCTTGCAGCTAACCTAGGCTGCCCACTATTCCGGCTTGATGTCAAGAATGCCTTCCTCAATGGTGACCTCGGAGAAGAAGTATACATGGAGATTCCTCCTGGTCTCACAACTCAAGCAACAAATAATAAAGTCTGCAAACTCAAGAAGTCATTGTATGGACTAAAACAGTCACTTCGAGCTTGGTTCAACCGATTTTCTAAGGCCGTAAAGAGATTTGGGTACGCACAGTGTCAGGCGGATCATACTCTTTTTATCAAGCGATCAGGAAGATGGGAGTCATCCATTCTAATTGTCTACGTCGATGACATTGACCTTACAGGAGATTTCTTAGAAGAAATGAAAAGGCTGAAGAACTTCCTTGCAAAAGAGTTCGAGATCAATGACCTAGGAACCCTCAAATACTTCCTAGGAATGGAAGTGGCTCGAACAAAAGACGGAATATCGGTCTCTCAGCGAAAATATGTCCTAGATCTCCTAAAAGAAACTGTAAAGCTCGGATGCAAGTCTGCAGATACACCTATGGATCGAAACACTAAATTAGGACTTAGGGAGAATGATACACCAGTTGACAAGGGAAGATATCAGAGACTCGTCGGGAAACTCATCTACCTCTTACACACTAGGCCTGACATTGGTTTTTCAGTGAGTGTTGTGAGCCAGTTTATGAATAATCCCATGAAAAAGCATATGACGGCTGTTTATCGAATTCTGAGGTATCTCAAGATGACTCATGGTAAACACTTGTACTTTAAGAAGAACACAAACAAGAGAATAGAAATCTTTACTAATGTAGACTGGGCAGGCTCAGTTATTGATCGAAGATCCACATCAAGGTATTGCACCTTCATATGGGGAAACCTTGTCACTTCGAGAAGTAAGAAACATACAGTGGTTTCAAGAAGTAGTGTAGAAGCTGAGTTCAGAGCTATGACACAAGGAATTTACGAAGGAATGTGGCTTAAGAGACTCTTGAAGGAACTCAAAATCCTATATGAAGAGCCTTTACAAATGTTCTGTGACAATCAAGCTGCAAAACGACTTGTCATTTTTATTGATGCATCAAAATGGCATGGCGTTTTGTCAAGAATGACAAAAAATCTACAAACAAAACGACATGTCATTTTTCTGATCCGGTAAAATGACGTCGTTTTGTAAAAAAGACAAAAAATTTCAGCATCAAAATGACATGTCGTTTTAAACTAATGACTCAAAATGATGTCGTTTTGTAAAAAAGACAAAAAACTTTCAATAGCAAAATGACATGTCATTTTTTACTGATGACTCAAAACGACGTCGTTTTGACAAAAACAACAAAAAACTTTCAAAAACGGAACGACATGTCATTTTTTTCATAAAACCACGAAAAGGTGTCACCTACAAAACGACATGTCATTTTGACAAAAAACCAAAACAAAACACCTTCAAAACAATATTTCGTTTTGACAAAAAATTTCACAAAAAAAGATATGTCGTTTATTGATGCGTCAAAACGCCGTTGTTTTAAAAAAGACAAAACTTTCAGCATCAAAACTACATGTCATTTTTCTGATGCTACAAAACGACGTCGTTTTGATAAAAAGAAAAAATTGTTTCAAGAGCAAAACAATGTCATTTTTCTGCTGATGAGAAAAACGATGTCGTTTTGACAAAACGATAAAAAGTTCTATTTTTTTATGATTTTCTCTATTTTTCGTCTTTGAAAAATAAAATAAAATAAAAACGACGTCAAAACATTCTAAAATGTTGCAGACAAGATCCTTACATTTTTTCATCTTTGAAAAATAAAATAAAATAAAAATGACGTCAAAACATTCTAAAATTTTACAGACAAGATCCTTACATTTTTATGATCATGTCTACAAAAAATGGCCTCAAATTATAAAAAAAAAAAAACGCTACTAAAAAACTCCCCGCTCATGCAATGGGTCGCTGAGGGCCAGCATGGGTCAAAAATTGATATTTTTATTTATGTTTTATATTATCCTGATCAGCAAGACATTAACCTAAAAGAATCCATATAATACGCATTCACCGAATGAAAAGAATTCGAGGAAAAGGGGATTTGCTTACAAGAAACATAAGACGATCTCCCACTTTTGTCGTCATTATCAGCTTCTTCTTTTTTTATTTTTTATTTTTTTATATTTTTATTATCAATTATCCGCTTAATTCCGAGCTTTATTCTTTGGTCTCAGTTTGTAAACCAGCAAGCATATTGTTTTCCCCTTCTTTATCCTTTGATTCTGCTTGAGCACTATTCTTTTCATCCCCTTTCTTTGCAGCTTCAGCTTCTTCTTTTTGTTTTTTAGCCTTGGCTTCCTCGTTTTCCCTCTTTTTCACTTTGAGGAATTCAATTAGACCTTGTAGTGCAATGTCAGGGTCGTCGTTCTTTACCAACTCCTCAGCAATTTCTGCAGGGGTAACTTCTGTGGAATGAACTCGTTGCTCGATTTCAGCAAACAGCAAGTGGTCTTTGATGCCAAGGTAATTGGACGCTAGAAGTCTGAATCCGCATGGTGTGCAGTAGGACATGTGGACATGAACATCCATTCGACCTGGGCGGAGCAGTGCTGGGTCGAGCTTTTCTTTGTGATTGGTGGTGAAGATTATGATCCGCTCGTCGCCGCAGCTTGACCATAGCCCATCGACAAAATTCAGCAAGCCAGACAGTGTCAGCTGCGGTAGCATTACATAGAGATAGGAAAAAAGCCAGAAAGTAGCACTCATATGAGATAAGGTTTTAATTGTATGAAAACTAATTAATACTAACATTCTCAAAGCCAGTTACCATCTATCAGATGCCATCAAGGGATATAAAGAAAGAAAAGGTGAAGTAAGTCTTGTATTGAACGCAATTGTAGATTCAGGCGACATGAGTTTAGAACAAAATTGAGAGGACCACATGGGCAAAAAGCATTCCATTCATCAAATGCTTGGCACTTGCAGAGTGGTCCTCTGAATGGGCAATTAATTGATTAAATCTGTATGCTTCCCATATGTCGGCAAATAAAAATGCAGATGCATAGTAGGAAACATCAACTAAAACCGACCACATTCTGTGGATATATTGAAGGTGTACAAAGTGTTGAGCAAATCGTACTCCATAAAATAAACAACAACTAGAGAATACTGTCCCAAGTGGAGCACCAAAAATTAGACTCATGTAGACTGAGAATTCAAAAAGAACTGTAACACTGGCCACAAAGAGAAGACAAAAAAATTGGACAGAGTGAATACAAAACAAACCACCCTTTTTTCGGTAGAACCAAAAAACTAAAACTACTAATAGTTCCATTTTTTTCAACCGTTTTTAGCTGTCAGTTATATATCAGAATCTTTTTATTCTGCGTATCTTTTCAATCTCTTCTGATTTTGATCAAGATTTAACGATAAGAAAATAAACCTTATACGTAAAGCTTTCAACATGCTTTGGATATAAAACAACTACTACGTGTCACAAACATGCTTTTCATGGTTTCTTTCTTAACCAGATATACTAAATTGACAGAACAGTGGAAATTAGATTTTGGAAAACAACACTGGACTCTATGAAAAAGTATAAAGCAAATTAAAGACGAACAAAATTCCGAATAATCTATAGACATCCACAAGCTAGATAATGACACCTCCATAACAAGAAAAATAGCAAAACGGAGAAAAACAGGAACAGAAAACATAAAAAGCTATACAAGATGAACAAAGAATAGAAGGAACCAAAAAAAAAAAAAAAAAAAAAAAATCTAACCTGATTCGCTCTGTTTCCATTGAAATCGACACCGGACTTATCTGCATTCTTATTACGGTCATGGAAGTCAACCGTGCAATCAATATCCTCCACGACCAGTATGGACCGGTTCGCCATGGCAATGAGCAGCTTCTTAAGATCCGTATTTGCCCTAAGCTCAGTGAGCTCCAAATCATAAACATCAAAATTCAAGTAATTCGCCATTGCCGCGATCAAGCTCGTTTTCCCCGTTCCAGGAGGTCCGTACAGCAAGTATCCTCTCTTCCAAGCCTTCCCGACCTTCCTGTAATAGTCTCTCCTCCTCATGAACCTCTCCAGATCTTCAAGGATGAAGTTCTTGATCTCCGTGTCCAGAGCAAGAGTTTCGAACGTTGCGGGATGGTCGAGATTCGTCGAAATCCACGCATCTGCTATGTTGTAGAGTCCCTCAGGATCCACAGTGAAGATCTTCAAGGTCTTCTTCTCTTGCTTCGCGGATTTCGATTCCCTCATGATTTGGGGCAAATACGATTTCAGGACCATGTCTACGTATTTCTTGTTGAAACTGAGCTCGAACGATCGGACCTCCTTTCGGAGCGTGGAATTGAGGTCTCTAGGATTGTAGAACCCGTTAGCATTGCTCTCGACCTGTCTGCAAACCAAAATCCACCTAAATTTGACTCCATTAAAGACGTCGACGATCGTCTCGTTTTTCTCCACGGTGATTGTGAAGTTGTGCTCCTTCTCAGGCTTACTCACCTTAAGCCTCTGCGTCGATGGCGAGATTTTGCCTCCCAAATAAGTCTCCGCCGCCTCGTAGATTTGGTTGTTAACGAGTCCGTCGAATTCTTCGATCACCATTGTCATCTGAGACGAGAAGCGACTGAACAACTTCCTGATTCCCGAGAACAAAAGTTCTTGGAATTCGTAGGGCAAATAATCTTGCACAATCGAACGAGCCACCATCGCCGTGGCGGCGACCGAGGCCGCCGTGGTCAGAACCGTCTTTGCAGTCGCAAGATTCGTTGCAAAATCCGAAGACAAAGCCATTGATTTTCTATAAAAGTTTCAGAAACTTGTCACTGACGTTTCTCCGAGTTCTTAAGGGTTATTATAAGGAAAAATGGGATTGACTTCGGAGACTTGGAAAAACCTGTGAGAAAATTCCTCGCAAGGACATGGAAGCTCACCCAGGAGCTTCCGAGTTCAAAGAGTCTTCGTCTTCGTCTTCTTGTTCGTTGAAAATGGAGATTATTCAATCCTTAAAACTCGTCAACATTTCGGAATCGTTGCAATTATATAGTAGAAGTCAAACAAATTGTAGGAAAGTAATGTATTGTTTATTTATTGCGTAAAAGAAGGAATTATTTACACCATAGTCTAGGATCCAGAGTCTTCTGCTTCGAGGTTTGAAGCACTAAAAAAGGACGAAGAAAATTCTATTGGAAGAGGAAGTCGACTGACTACAGACGACTTTTGGTGAATTCAAACTGTCTACTAATAGAAAGTTTAATCTCACACATGTAAGTACACTTTTTATTAATGCTGATACTTACTTAACACTAATAGTATTTTTAAGCATTTTTCATTTAAATAAGACGGATAGAATAGGCTCCCGTGGACCATAAAAAAAAAAAAGCTTTCATTGGCCTTATTAATGCCATTTTTCTTTTTAAAACTCAAATTACAATTCAAATTTTTTTATTACAATATTTTTTCTCATAAAAATTAAAAAAAAATTATTGTGAGCCATATAAATACTTTTTTCCTACTATAAGATATTGTATTTATCTTATATTTTACATTAATTATTTGAAAACTTATTCTCTAAAAATGATTTTTTGCTAGGAAACTTTTATTTTTATTTTTATTTTTAATGTCAGGTGATGGATCTTGGTTGATGCTTTAGCATTGAATAAGAAGATTTCTCTTGTATTAGTTTTCATTGCGGTTAGTTTGTTGGTTTATGACTTAATGTATTTAAACTTATTTTGCATTTTTTAAAATTTTATTTTGACGTAAATTCATGACTGACAATTGTGGAACTATATGAGACCAATACGTGATGAATTTTACCTTTTCTTCATAAATTTCTTCTTTTTAGTTAAATTGTTAGCTTTATTTATTTTTTATTTTGTATAATGTTCAACCAGATTAACTCACTCTTTTAACTTTGAGTTGATTTAGTAGATTAAATTTGGATTTAAAAGTCTCAAAAATCCACCCAAACAATTCAAGTGTTCACTCATAACCGGAAATCTCTCCCTAGCGGTCAGGGATCTACTAGATTTACCCTATATCCGAGTTTATTGTATTTATTCCTATATATAGGATTAAATATCTAGTAGGTTAACTTGGGTGAGAAAAAAACCTTAACCTACCTAATTAACTCACTCAAATAAAGCTCACATTCGATTGGGTGGGTTTGGAAAATTACTTATAAAAAAACTAAAACGAATAATTCAACTCAAAGTAAGAAATAAAAGGAAAAAAATTAAAATTCACAACACACTATCCATACCAAGTTAGTTTTAGCCCAATTTCGTAGGTATCAATAAAGCAAATATAAAATTTTAGTTCTCAAAAATATATACATGTATATAAAATTTGAAACATCAACCATACAATTTGATTTAATACATATAAATTTTATTGTATGGGTTGTGTTTATGGCGAATTGCTAAAAATTAAACCTAAACCTACCTAATTACTTAAAAATAAAAAACAACACACTCAAATAAAGATTGGGTTAAGGTGTTCAAATTTTTATAATTTAGTGTTTCAATTGGTTTCTAACTAGTTAAATTGTGCAATGTCATTTAAAAAATTTGAAATACAGTCTAACTAACTTTTCTATATTTTAATGTTTAAATCTATTAAATGACGTGACATAAGACGCTAAAAATTAGACAGTTGATTTGAGTCTTATGAGTTTTTTTTGTTAACCCCCAACTTGTTTTTATCAATATTTATCATTTCTCGAAGAAAGAGGCAAATAACATTTCTTTAAACTTGTTCGAAGTATTTAACATGTTTCAAAATATTTGAACTAAATACTACATTTATTGGTAAATAAATGATTTAATAGAATAAATAAATAATTTATTCCATTAAATAATTTATTTTCTATGGCTAATTAAACTATTTAATTAATATGCTATTTACTGCAATTTTACTAAAAAAAATTTTGGTCACTAACAGCTTATTAATTCCTAGCTCTGTTCTTTGGTCTCAGTGTGTAAACCAGCAAACATATTGTTTTCCCCTTCTTTATCCTTTGATTCTGCTTGAGCACTATTCTTTTCATCCCCTTTCTTTGCAGCTTCAGCTTCTTCTTTTTCTTTTTTAGCCTTGGTTTCCTCGTTTTCTAACTTTTTCACTTTGAGGAATTCAATTAGACCTTGTAGCGCAATGTCAGGGTCGTCGCTCTTTAATAATTCCTCAGCAATTTCTGCAGGGGTAACTTCTGTGGCTTGAACTCGTTGCTCGATTTCCGCGAACAGCGAGTGGTCATTGATGCCAAGGTAGTTAGATGCTAGAACTCTGAATCCGCATGGCGTGCAGTATGACAGGTGGACATGAACATCCATTCGACCCGGCCGGAGCAGTGCTGGGTCGAGCTTTTCTTTGTGATTGGTGGTGAAGATTATGATCCGCTCGTCGCCGCAGCTTGACCACAGCCCGTCGATGAAATTCAAAAAGCCAGACAGTGTCAGCTGTAGCATACGGTAGCACTGGAAAGAGTTAGGAAGAGAACCAGAAAGTAGAACAGGTTTGAATTGCATGGAAATATATATATATATATCTATATATATATATATTTGTATATATATATGATTCTAGATAATTCCAACACTTCCAATGCTAATTCTATCTATCAACGCCATCAACTCAAGTGAAAACAAAAAAAATATGTCTTGTATTAGGGAGTTTCTCCTTGGGATCAGAAAAATATAACTATTAGTAGTTATACTTTTTTCAGTCGTTTTCAAATTTATATCAAAAACTGTTTGTTTCACATATGTTTTGAATCTCATCTGATTTTAATCAGATTTAATAGTCAAAAAATTGATCCTACCGGTAGGACAACCTACCGGAGACAATTTCCCTTATATTAATACCATGAAATTACTTTGTGTGATAAATTTTGATATATTTGTCACGTGCAAAAAGTGTAATAGGCATTTGTATTCCCATTCAGATGCAGCAATGGGCAATTGAATATTGAAGAATGTATGTGATGTTCAGATTTGAGCAAATAAACGAATTAAAACAACTAAAGAACACTCTGTCACAAGTGAAAGACCCAAGTGAAGAGCCAAAACTTAGACCCAATGAGAATGACAATAAAAGGGGGGAAAAACTTAAAATTCTTATCAAGAAGGAGAAGATATTAAATTAATCAGATTGATTAATGAATATAAAATAAACAATTTGTTTTTTTTTTTTTGGTTTCTTTAAGGAATATTTTGAATGAACCTGCTTTAGATACACAAACAATCACTTCGGCACAAAAGAATAAATATGATCAACAGACTGTAAATTGTACAGTGATGTACAAAGAACAAAATAATTCCAATTTTTTTCCCCGGAACTGGATTGAAATTGTACAGTATTTCATGTTTTAGCCATGCAAAGATTTTTATTAGCATCATTTTTATTTAGCCAGCCATGCACAATTTTGGAAGACAACAAAGGACTCTCATCTCTAATGCCTTTCTTCCTCCCTCTCCTTTTTAGCCATTTAAGATAAAACGAAACAGTGCAAAGAAGACAACAAGAGGAAAAAGATAACTATGCACTTCCACACGCAATATATCGAAATCTCCGCAACAGGAAAAATGATAAAACAGAGAAAAACAGGGAAAAAAAAGAACCTGTTTTCTTCTCGGATTATAATAATCTTCAGTGGACTGATCGGCAGCCATATTCCGGTCATGGAAGTCAACCGAGCAGTCGATATCCTCCACAACCAGTATGGACCTGTTCGCCATGGAAATGAGCATCTTCTTAAGATCCGTATTTGCCCTAACCTCAGTGAGCTCCAAATCATACACATCGAAATTCAAGTAATTCGCCATTGCAGCGATCAAGCTCGATTTCCCCGTCCCAGGAGGTCCATACAACAAGCATCCTCTCTTCCAAGCCTTCCCGATCTTCCTGTAATAGTCTTTCCTCTTCACGAACCTCTCGAGATCTTCGAGGATGAAGTTCTTGATCTCTGATTCCAGAGCAAGCGTTTCGAACGTCGCCGGATGGTCGAGGTTCGTCGAAACCCAAGCTTCGGTCATGTTAAAGTGCCTCTCGGTTTCCAGCGTGAAGATCTTCAATGTCTTCTTCTCTTGCTTGGCCAATTTTGATTCCCGCAGAATATGGGGCAAATACGATTTCAGGACCAAGTCTAGGTGTTTCTTGTGGAAACTGAGCTCGAATGATCGGACCTCCGATCGGAGCGTCGAATTGAGGTCTCTAGGATTGTAGAAGTCGCCACGATTGGCCTGGACCTGACTGCAAACCAAAATCCACCTAAATTTGACGCCATTGAAGACGTCGACGATCATTTGTTTCTTTTCCACGGTGACCACGAAGTTGTTCTCTTTCTCAGACTTACTCACCTTGAGCCTCTGCATCGAAGGCGAGATCTTGCCCCCCAAATAGGTCTCCGCCGCCTCGTAGATTTGGTTGTTGACGAGTCCGTCGAATTCATCGATCACCATTGTCGTCTGAGACGAGAAGCCATTGAAGAATTTCCTGATTCCCGATAACAAAAAGTGTTGGAACTCGTACGGTAAGTAATCCTGTATGATCGACCGAGCTACCATCGCCGTCGCGGCGACCGACGCCACCGTCGTCATAACCGTCTTCGCCGTCGCAAGATTCGTCTCCAAAGCCGATGAAGAATCCATTAATTTTCTCTGGAAGCTTGACAGATTTATCGGTGACGTCTTTCAGAGTTCTCGAGTCTTCTTATAAGGAAATTTGGATGTACTTTCTTTAAAAGTTTATTAGAAAATTCCTCGCGACGACATGGAAGCTGACGAAGAAGCTTCCGAGTCAAAAAAGTGGGTCTAAGTCTTCTTTCTCGTTGAAAATTGCGATTATTCCTTTGGTTAATTTGTTGAAAATTCGTCACAATTTCGGAATATTTTAATATAATATAGTAAAAGCAAGTCGAAATTCAGAACGTTGGTATTGTTTATTCGTTGCCTGAAAGAAAGAAGGAATAATTGGCACAGCCTTTTTTAAATGTTTCACACAGTGGATTTGGACACAACCTTTTGGTTTGAACTTCGTAGCTTGAACCTGCAAAGGACGAGGGAAATTTGTTTCGGAAGAAGAAAGGACGACTTTCGGTGGATTCAGAAACGGCAAGTAGGCTTTTGTTGGTCTTTATGGGCGGGCCTTGTAAAAGCCGGGCTCATTTCTTGACGGGCCTCTGCTATACTGAAAGAGTTAAGGAGAAGAGTGGCACCCATGAAATTTATAACTACACCCCAATTAATTATTACTTCCTATTATATATTTAAAAAATTTATCCTTTTATAAATACTTTTTGTATGATTCTAAACTTGACCCTCTCATAAACCCATGCCCACCCCACTTTCATTTTAATTTTATCTTTTATTATAAATAAATAATTGACAAATCTTAACAATAATAAAGTTTTTTTCCTTCTTAAAAAACCAAACACCAAGAAGAAAAACACTTTACGTCATACGAGTATAGGAAAGCAAGCGACATTTAAACATTTTTTTTTCAACATAAATATCACGATTTTTTTTTTAGGAACATAAATATTACAATTGAAATACCCATAAATTTTTTTTTTTTTTTAAATTATTTTGGAAGCCATGGATAGTGTCTCTTACTCATTACTATATGAAAAGTCAACTAATATTTCTATTTATAGTTGATATGATTTATATATAAAAAGATGTAATTTTAATGAGTTTTAACGTAATTTCATTGTAAGGTAAATGTAGATTATAACATGGTGGGTATATTTATGAATATTAGGGGTGCAAATAGAATTTCACTAAGGAGAAATACAACTTGAAAGATGCCCTATGTACATTATGCAAGAGACGAAAGATAGTTTGCGCATAAATACGTAAAACTGCTCGCAGTGATATTCCTACACTCTATTAACCACCCTTTCAAAATTCAAGAAAACATACAAAGAAAAAGGGTATATCTGGGAGTTTAAAAGTGATTATTTTGCTTCCAGCAAAAACAAAAAAGATTATTTTATGCAATTATCTCAATGTGAAAATGGCCAATAGGCGAAGGAGGGAAGTATGCTAATTTAGAGAGAGAGAGAGAGAGAGAGAGAGAGAGGTGTAGCTTTTTTTTAAGGAATAAAAATAAGAAACAAATGAATGGCACAATTTTCTAATAAATTAGAGCAAATTCAATGCAATGATATAATAGATGTGTCAATGGTAAATTTAGCATTTGAGTGTGAAAAATACTCTACTATGTAAATGCTATTTATTATGTCAAATTTATCATATGTTATACTTCACGTGACAAATTTAGTATTTGATTGTTGTTGATTGTGGTTTTACTTTTTCTTTTAATTATTGCAAAATTTACATTTTTAAATTATTTTAAATTGAAAGTTTACTTTTACAACTTTCAAAACTTAATGATTATGATAAAAAAATATATTTAACATTTGAAAGAGCATTATGCATTAGAGCATCTCTAATGCAATGCTATAATTGATGTGCCAATTACAAATTTAGCATTTGAGTATAAAAAATTACTCTCCAATGCAATGTTATTTGTTGTGCTAAATTTTCCATATGCTATATGGTAAATTTTTCACTAAGTATAGCATATGAAAAATTTGGCATTTAATTGCTATTGGTTGAAATATTTATTTTTTCATGTAATCACTTGCATTTTTTAATTATTTTTAAAATAAAAAATTTACTTTTACAACTTTCAAAGCTTAATGATTATGGGAAAAAATAGATTTAGCATTTCAATAGAGCAAAAATAAAAATAACATACCATATCATACATTTTAATGCCAAATATCCAATTAGCATTAGCATTTACATTGGAGATGGTCTAGCACAAATGAAAATAACATGTCAAATATACAATTATTACACTTTTTCGTCTCAAAATATACAATTAACATTAACATTTACATTGGAGATGTTTTTAATAAATAAAAACAAATTTAAGATATACCCATTTTATTTCAAGACCAAATTTAATGATAATACAAAATTTACCTGTTTACTCCCATAAAACTCCTATTTAGACACCTTTTCTAATCAAAATTTACTTATTAACAAAATTACTTATTTTTTTTTATTAAAAACTCACTTTTACCCTTGTATTTTTCTTTTAAGATTGAAAATGACATTTCTTAACATATAACAAAGGAGCTTTTCACTACTTAAGATTCAAACTAGGGCATTAGCTACAATTTCCCAGAATCTAAGGAAATATATAAGGGACCAGTTCTCTCTTTTATTTTGTTGAATCAGTGAGCAATAGTATACCACTAGTTCTTGGAGTAGATATATACATAGCTTTTCTCAGGTCGGTTCTGTGGGAAAAAAATAAAAAAAAGAAAGCAGAAACAATAAACAAATAAATAAAGAACTGAAGAATTAACAGCGTTGGTTTAATCGTATAAATGATGTGAGGAAATTGTACTTGTGACATGATAAATAGTCCAATTAATATACTGCTCGAATGAAGTAATTTTTAAGCTCATTATTTGTTGTCCTCTCAAGTGAATTTCCCGTTTCATCATACTTTAATGGAAGTTAATTACTGTAAAGAGACCTCCATGAGAGCGAGGGGCCATCATATATCAATCCACTCTTTGTGCCAAAAACCAAAGATAGAAAGAAAACAACTTCGCTTTCTGGTTGTCACGTTTTTCAATCATCTCACAAAACCCTCATATGGGTCAGCAGAAGAGATTCAATTGACTGGCACTGAGCTAATATTGTTGTCAAAGTTAATAAGAAGAATAGTGGCCACTACTTTACTCGCCCCATGCGAGTAGATAAGTACCCTCTTTTCCTTTGCTTGATCCTATTGTGCAAGGTATTCAATTCAATCATTGTGCTATGCGTAATCTAACCCAAAAATGCTCATCTTTCCGGCCAACAAGCTTTGAGTGTTCAATTTGAGTGAGCGAACCTAAGAGTAATTGATTTGTGTTAGCACATTCAGTGAAGTTGGGATGATGCCCTATTCATTCGAGAGGTAGGGTCTACCTGTAAGGCTTTCAACGAACATTTCTATCAGCGTTTGGTGTCTCTTTTAGTGACATTCAAAGAGATATGTTAAACATTAATTGCTCCCACCAAGGACTTTATTTATTCACAAAAAAAAAAAAGAGACCTAGTGTGATTGAGTCTCAGGACAGTTCGGTTAAACAACAGTACTTGACTCGACTAAGCTCCCCATGGGCGGAACCAAAGTCCAACTTTATTGGCATATTGTTTTCTTAATAGCCGGATCAACCTCGGAAGCACATTTTGCACGAATTGAGGACGTGATGATTTTGGCCTACCACGTCCACGTATAGTGGAGGAAACCCCATTTTATCACATGATCTACCCAACCTCCACGATCAAGTGAAGATAACCGAATTGCTAGTATTGGTGCTGCTCTAACTGAATTGTATGTACTCTTTTAGGCCACGTTCGTTTCACCGATTCGAGTTTAGAATTTGAGTTTTATTACGGTATAAAAAGTTTTTAAAAACAATCACATCTAACTTTTTTTATTACAGTAAAAAGCTCTCACATAAAGTCATATCTCAACTCAAATTAAAAACTCGAATCAACGAACTAAATGAGTGCTTATTCTCTCTTACAACCCCTACGTACTTTAAGCATTATATTAACTTAAGTGTTGGCGCTATTTGACTACTCTTTGAGCTTATATCAAAACAAGAGCGCAGACAAAAATTACGGTTGTCAAATCTCCTCTTTTATTTTTTTATTTTTTATTATTGATTTCAGATTTCAAGCTTCTACAATTTGGAAACGATTTGTGGTCAAGGGCCATTTCTTCTTTTCTGCGAACTGTAGATTACAGTTTTTTGTTTTTTTGTTTTTTTGTTTTTGTTTTTTTTTTTTGAGAATTAGTTTTTACAGTTTACTACAGTCTTTTATTGTAGGATATAAATTTTAAACAAGAAGAAAAAAGAAAAAGAACATACAATCAATATGACAAAATTGTGACCTAAAGGATTTTTATCAAATTTAGTTAAAAACTTATACTATCTTTTATTTAATATATGAAACAACCAACAAAAGTACAAGTCTAACATTTCATACCCCATGCGGGGTACGAAAATAATATATATTTATTTAGTTCGGTATAATTTTAATCAAATCTGAGAACATATACGCAAATCCTTTTATGATCCCATTATATATTATTCTTTTCATTTTTCTTTATTCCTTTCCTTTTTGCTAAAACTACTTCTCCTTTTTATGATCCCATTGTGTATTACCCCAATTGGAAGTGTAATTTGTTGCTAGCTAGAGAGTGTAATAGGGTAGCTCATGTTCTTATTTGAGATCCGCTTTCACTCTCTGTTTGATCTTGTTGGGATGGATTTTGTTCCTTTATTTGTTGCTCCTTCTATGTGCCGATTTGGCTCAATTAATGCAAGAGTCTTTCTTTAAAAAAAAAAAGAAAAAAAAAAGAAAAAAAAAAGAGACAACTTCTTGTTCGGACTGGTAGAGCCTGGCACAATCATGACCAGCCTCTCCAACAAAAGCCCAGCCGTCTTATCAGCTCTGAATGTTTTTAAGATATTTATCATCTTACACAAGCATGCACTCTCGGTAATGCAACGAGAATATTGAGCAATCATCATTTCATGACACAAAAATGGTGAACTATTTTCCAATATATCATGCATGGAATGTTCATGGACCACGCGGGGAGACTCAAAATCATTAGAACATTCGAGATATGGGTCCCACTTCCACCCTTTCAACACATGTCAATGCCAAACCCATCCTTCAACCTAAAGAACACTGTTTTATTGGAGACCAAAACAATCACAAAATTGACTCTTAATGCTAAGCGTAAGCATCATATGATGCTACAAACAATTTAAGTTGCCTTATGATGCATATGCTGTCATTAAGATTTAAATATCTAATTTTCACATATAAAATTTTTGGAATATTTTAGCATTTTTATTATATAATATGAGATTTATGACTCTCAATTTATCAATTAACGAGAAGTGAAACTATCAGGATTCAAACCTTATTTGTTATGTATATACACATACTCACGTACCCAACTACCTGAGCTAGTCTCAAGTGACGTATTGTTTGAGCATTGACCTAAATAATAAAAAAAATTAACATTATGCCTCCCATTTAATAGTTGTGCCCTACTTTGATCCAACTCATTACAATGCTAATTAATGTATTATCACTCTCGTCCCATGTTCGAAGGGTGCAAGTTCCAATGTATTTGCCCACATTGTCTTCTTCATGCATAGATCAATTATGTAGCTCCTAATGCACTAGTTCTGGTGCATGTATGTGAGCGGTCACGTTGGTGTGGTCACCAATTTATCAAATAATAATGGCGCAATATATAATGGACCCTTTTCATGTCATGCAGTTTTCTGGTAATAACAGCTATGGCAGGCAACATGGGTGTCTAGCTCGTGCTCGTCTAGCTAGGTTTCTTTAGTCTGAATCACAATTATGTGCGAAATGGAAATGTCAGCTTAATCTACTACAAAAATATTTGTTTAAACCTAAATAGAGTACCAAACATATTTGTTTACCTGCAGTAATTGTTTGGTCAGGGTCACTTAGTGGGGTCCATTTATAATTTAGGGTGTTACCTTCTTCTAAAGGCCTTATGGTCGATTTGTCCATAAATTAATATGTAATCTTTACTTATGTGTTTATCAAAGGCTTATCTTTACTCGAAACCATGTAAATTTGTATTTGGTAACTATAATATGCAAATTGTCCTTTTCCTACAGGAATCTGACAAAATATGTCTAAACAATATCCTCCTTAAGATTCTCGAGGCTATTATATAAATGTTCAACGCCTGAACTAACTTGTCTCATTTTGAGAGTTCACTATATTATAATCCTGCATAGACTTTGACGTCTAAATACAACACCTGATCGACCTTAGTTGTTGACCTTGAGATCCTAGTCTTTCCTTCATCAGGAGACAAGTTGAAAAGGCAAAAGATGCTCAGTCTCAATCTGCTGAAGGAAGAACTTCTCTTCTTTGTGAAGAACTATCATGATATCATTTTTGTTGCAGTTTTTGCTATTGGAACAACATATTTGTTTTCAAAAGCTTGGAGAAGGACTAATACTGAAAGAGCTCATCACGTCCCTGGCAGATTGGGTTTGCCTTTTCTTGGTGAAACTATTTCTTTTCTTTCGGCCACTAATAGTACAAGAGGGTGCTATGATTTTGTCAAACTCCGACGACTATGGTCAGTTCTGTACATGATAATTCCTTGTTTATGTTTTAAAAGTACACATATTTGGCTTAGGATTTTCTTCTTACTTCCAAGTAAGTTCTTGTACAATTATTATTATTTTTTTTTATGAACTGTATCACTACTAATCATGATATGATAATTGTTTCTCCAACCAGATGGGATTGCACAAATAATCAACTTTTAATCATTAATGTTCCTTGAGCAATATGACACACACACAGAGACACAGATACATGTACAGGGTATTTATTCAAAGATGAACTCGCTGAAAAATCCATTCATGTTTCTGATAATTGGGAGTTTAAGTTACAATTACGCCACATATATGCCAGCCTAGTTTTGTCTCACTTATTGGTCATTTATATGTGTGTGTGTCATGATGAAACTTACACGAGTTCTATATCCAATATTGTTATAGATATTGATCAGTGTATCCGTGATTTTCTCTCTATGCAAAGTTTTATGTGGAAAGTGTAGATCGACTTTAGAAGTACGCTTTGGGAATTACCGTTTCATATTTTTAGTTTTCTTAACATGTTGGTGTAGAACATAAAATTAGCTGAGGATTTTGGTGAAAGCAGGCATGGGAAGTGGTTCAAGACAAGGATATTTTGCAAGACTCATGTATTTGTTCCGAGTGTAGAAGGAGCAAAAACAATATTTTCAAATGATTTTGCGCTGTTCAACAAAGGGTATGTGAAATCAATGGCAGATGCTGTAGGAGAGAAGAGCTTGCTCTGTGTACCACATGAGAGCCATAGAAGGATTAGGCGTCTTCTGTCCGATCCTTTTTCCATGAATTCTTTATCCGACTTTGTTAAAAAATTCGATAAGATGTTGTGCCAAAGGCTGAAGAAGTTAGAAGAAGAGAGGAAGAGCTTTGTGGTTCTCGACTTCTGTATGAAAGTAAGATCTTTGTCAATTTTACGTTACCATTAAGATTGATAACATTTAGCATGTAAGCAAAAGGTATATAGCTAATTTTTTCTGTCTGTCTGATGCCACAGATGACATTTGATGCTATGTGCAACATGCTAATGAGTGTCACAGACGATTCCTTGCTACGGAAAATCGAGAAGGACTGCACCGACGTCTCAGATGCTATGTTAACTTTTCCATTTATGATTCCTGGTACCAGATATTACAGAGGCATCAAGGTAAAAAAAAAAAATAATAATAATAAATGTTAATAGGCTGCACAAAAAGGCTAAAAAATTGAACAATAGTTGGTCACATGGTTTTGTAGTATTAGACTAAACTTTGTTCTCTTAATATAGAAACTAACACTGCTTATAGGCTGCACAAAAAAGGGTGAAAATTTATACAAAACATTTGGTCACATGGTTTTGTAATATTGGATGAAACGTTTTTCTCTTAATCTTTGACTCTAATAGCTGCCTAACAAGATTAGTGTCAAAGCAGGCACGTAAACGTCTCATGGAAACTTTTACAGAGATAATTGCTAGACGCAGGAATGGAAAGGAGGCCCCAAGAGACTTCCTTCAGTCCATGTTAGAGAGGGACACGTTGCCTCCCGGTGAAAAGCTCGATGATTCGGAGCTTTTGGACAATGTACTGACGATGATAATTGCAGGGCAGACCACCACCGCGGCGGCAATGATGTGGAGTGTCAAGTTCCTTGATGAAAACCGGGAAGCACAAGACAGGTTCAGGGTTAGTATGTCATGCATAAATTTTGTTGTGAAACTGGTGTTTTTATGCACAATCTAGGGTATTAATGTCTATGGAAGAAATGTCTTATAAGCATAGTTTATGTTACAGCTTAATGCTTTTTAACTATTAGCCAATTTAGTCAAAAGGATCATCGAGTTGGTTGGTGACTAAGTTGGGGAGCTATTTTCCACTTTTCTACTTATAGTAACCATAAACCATAAAACATCATGCTGTCTACTTATAGTAACCATAAACCATAAAACATCATGCTGTTACATATAAAAAGGGAAACAATTGGGGAGATATATACAAAAAGGGAAACAATATTCATTTTAATTCAGAAAATTTAAAAAATGCATAAGATTTCTCCTACGAAATGCCAAGTAGCAGATGCTTTTTAGCCACTACATTGTTATGGTGCAATATTCAACAGCATTTTTCTGTTACAATAGGAAGGCCAGTGTTCACTTTATGATTGAAATGACCCAACTTTGAAAGGCAATATGCAGGAAGAACAGGTGTCAATAGCAAGAAATAAGCCAGTCGGAGCCTCACTAACTCTTGAGGATATTACCAAAATGTCCTACGGTTCCAAGGTTGGAAAATCTAAACTAATCAGAATTTGCTACATATATATATAGATAAAATTCTTCACGCCTACCCTTTTCTCCATTATTTATTTGCAAGTTTTCATCTTTTGATCTGTAATGAACTACTCGTGGTGGGTCTAATGGATCATGCGTATAGTGTTGACATTTCATGATTCTACTTCACGTGTCTTACCAGGTTGTAAAAGAAACGTTGAGAATGTCAAATGTCCTATTGTGGTTCCCTCGTGTTGCACTTGGTGACTGCAAATTAGAAGGCAAGTTTCTCCACTTCTTCTAATGGGACTAAAACAAACATATATGTGTGTGTGCGCGCGCGCGCACGCATGGAAATGAATTTCCACGGTTTCAATGTAATTGTAACATCTTAAAACGAAGCATTGTTTGTTTGCTCAAACATGAACGAAGGGCAGGTTATGAAATAAGGAAAGGATGGCATGTAAACATTGATGCAACTTGTATACACTATGACCCAGATTTGTATCCAGAACCTATGCAATTCAATCCATCAAGATTTGATGTAAGAAAACTCTCTCTACCCACTTTTCATTTTTTCCCCTCTTGTTGTCTTTGGACTTGGATATTGTCTAATTTTTCGCCCACTACATTATGCTTGTTCAGGAAATGCAAAAGCCATATAGTTTCATTCCATTTGGATCAGGGCCAAGGACATGCTTAGGAATTAATATGGCCAAAGTGACAATGTTGGTCTTTTTGCACCGTCTGACTAGTGGATATAAGTGAGTTTAATTATGTCAAAACCTAGAATTAGTCTTGACTTTCTAGTTTTCTTCTGTGAATGATAAAACTCTCCCATGACTTTATAGGTGGTCAGTTGATGATCTGGATGCTAGCCTAGAAAAGAAGGCACACATTCCCAGACTGAGGAGCGGCTGTCCCATAACCTTGATGCCTTTGTGAGACACAAATAGGCCTGTGATGGGTACATAAGAAAGTGCCTTGGTCAAACATAGACGGAGGTTTTTTTCTTTTTTCTTTTTTTCCTTTCCTGTTCACTTTGTTTTTCACTTCCTGTCGTGTCGTATCATGTAAATTGGCAGTAAACTAGTATGTTTAATGCAACAAGGGAAGTTGGCACTTTCCAATAAAGACAGGGAATTCAAAAAACACAGAATCCACAAGCAAACGATCACAAGATCTTTAAGAGGAGCTAGCACTATGCTTAGTTCGATAGTGCTGTAAATTTTAGAAAAATTACTTTTAATTGTGCTGAATGAAGAAACAACTGTCATAAAAACCAGTTGAGTGTTTAGTAAACTATAATTATAGTAGATGTGCTGATTCTAAAATCAGTGTAATAGCGTTTGATAAATTTTGATAGTGAATTGCTGTGGATATGTAAAATGACCAAAATAGACATAGTATGAAACTTAAATATATATAATTATTTTTGATATTTAGAAATATTTATTTAACTTAAAAAAAATATAATGCTATGATTTTGAGTTTTTTAACAATAAATTTATGATAATTAATTTTTTTTTTTTTTTTTTTTCATTTCTTCATTCACAATATAGTAACAACTAAAAGGAGTATTAGTGAGTAATCAATTTGTTGAACATTAAAGTCATTCTATGTTTAAAAACTGACAGAGTTATTAAAAAAATTAAATCGTGTTTATTAAAACAAAAAAATGTGTCGTATTAGAACCATCTAGAGAATGGAAAAACGAAATGTGTCGCCCTATATAGTGTGCAAAACAACACCAAACATGACTCATATTAAGGGTACCAAAAAATGGAAGAAAATATCAGAAGATAGAACAAAGATACACAGTTATATTATCAACATTACCAAGAAATAACGCCAAGTACATAAAAGAAGATGACACCATTAACAGATTAATTTATTATGAACTTGAATTTCTTGAATTTGCACCATAAATACCTTCAAACAGATAAATTTATTCTTGTGCTGTTATGACTTGTAAGCCCCAATTGCTCGAAGTTTCTATAATATTTAAACTTGAGACCAAAATGGATTGTTTAGAAGGATGTTCAAGAATGTTGAAATGTGATCAATAATAGCACTATTGTAGCAATCACAACTTGCCCACTATTCTAAACTAGAGGGTGTCACCCGGAGCATACAAATGTCTTCTTAGAAACTACCAATAGGAAGTATTTACTTCCTTATAAAGTATCTGAAAATGCTTTGCAGATTAATGTTACAAACGAGCCTAGGAGGAATAAATACGAACGGATGTACTCTAGAGGAGCTCGCAACGTTTTCGGTTAGGGTAGGGATGTGAGTGCGTGAGAATGGGTGCTGAGCTGGCTTAGACGGTTAGGCCTAGGGAATAGTGCCGAGAGAGTAGGGACATTAGAAGGGAGTGAGAGGGGAGAAGGAGGGCATGATTATCAAACTAGAATAATTCTTACTGTTGTATTGCTGGCCGAGCTGAGCTCGTGGTTTTTCAGTGACGATTAATGAAACAGATCCTTTGGTTGAGGTTCCTTCGGTAATCTAGCTGTGGTGTTGGTCTGTGTTGCTTGTGTGTGTGCATATTCTGCTACAGATACTCAGTGATCCAACAGTTTCGTATCAGAGACTACGATCTGGGAGAAGAGAAAATGACGAAGGGTGGAACTCGTGGTGATTGCGTGGAGGAATTAGAGAAGAAGTTGGATGAATTGACCGAGAAATTGACGGGGTTAGATCGATTAGAGGAGTGCCTCAAGGGCTTACCTCAGCTGGTGTCTACTCTCGTCAAGGAGAGTGTTGAGAATTTCAGTTGAGAATTTCAGTCGTGAACTGCCGAATTCCTTGCCAAAGGAACCGGGAAAGGAGGCGGTCGCCACTCCTGCTGTAGGAACGGAGGAGGCCACCACGGGAGCAGGACAGAGCGAGCCTTGGGATCTAACGGCCACCGGTGTTCCTCCTGGCCGACGGCTGCATTATACGGTACGAACAGATGGACTACGACCACAAGGGGCAGCACTTGAAGTAGAGCCACCGCCGACATGGGCAGGAGGCCGATATAACCACGAAAGGAGGTGCGGCCCCGAGCGCTGGGAGGTTGGTGGTGATCGACGACGGGTCGGGGAGGAAATTCCGCCGTGGGCTGGAGGCGAGCCTCCCAATCCGTTTCCTCACCGACGGAGGACTGGAGGGAGTCCACCTCGTGTGGATTTGCCACCCTTCGACGGCGAGGGGTGGCCGGTCTGGGAGAGACGGGCGGAGCGCTATTTTCGGGTCCACCTGATCCGGCCGGATGTTCGCGTGCAGGTGGTGGCTGATTTTCTCAGCAGAAGGGCATGGGAATACTATGAGTGGGTCATGGAGGAAGAACCGGGCATGGATTGGGAAGAGCTGAAATTTTCCTTCGGGCAACGTTTTGGGCCTAGGGAATTTAGGTCCATCCAGGAACAGTTGGTGGGCCTGAGACAGAGGGGCTCCGTGGCAGAATACGGGGAACAGTTTCAGGAGTTGTCGGCCCGTGTTCGTGGAATGGACCAGGCTACAACCTTGGGAATTTTTCTGAATGGGCTAAATCAGGATTTGCAAGATGATGTCCGGATGTGGCAACCCAGGAGTGTACATGAGGCTATTCAATTGGGCCTCCAGCTGGAACACAAATTGAAGGCCCAGGGAAACCGGGGAAGGGGAGGCCACTTATCACCATTCCAAGTTCCACTCCAAACGACAAATCGTTTGGGAACCAATAGATGGGGGTCGGGTTGTATGAGTAACCCGCATCCCATTCTCGGAAATACTCAGAAGCTTGTGGAAGGCGGTGGTACGAGCGCGGCTCAGCTGGAACGACAGCGGTGGAAGGACAACCGAGAGTGTTTCCGGTGTGGAGAGCCGTAGACCGGCGGCCACCGGTACAAGATAGGGACCCTAAAACTATTGGAGACTGCGGCAGAGGATGACGAAGAACCAGAAAAAAGACGGCGCCACCAGAGGGCCGCGGCAGTACGGACTCAGAAGAGGAGGAAGGGTTGTTGCTCCTCCAACCGGATCTGAGGTTGCAGGCGTTGGCCGGGATTAATGGAGGAGAGACTCTCAAATTGTACGGTCGGGTACAGCAGAAACAGGTAACCATCTTAATCGATAGTGGGGCAAATTCCTCGTTTATCAGTTGGACTAAGGTTAAGGAACTGGGGTTAACGGTAGTGTCAATCTCGGAATACACGATCAAGGTGGGGGATGGTTATTGCGTGACTACAGATACTGTATGCCGAGGGGTGTGTTTGGAAGTGTCGGGTTTAACGTTTGAGTTGGATTTATATCCTTTCGAGATACCGGGAGTAGATGTGGTTTTGGGGGCTGGATGGCTTAGGACGTTGGGAACCTTTAGGGCAAATTTTAGACATATGTGGTTAGAATTCGAGCTGAAGGGAAAGGTCCATTGGCTGGTTGGAGTGTCGGCCTTATCCCGAGAGCCTGTCTCGATTACCGCTGTGGCCAAAATGGCCAAGAAGGGGGAAGAGTGTTATTTGGTGCAGTGGCAGAGCACCCTTTCACCTAATGCCCGGAAGGAGGGAGCAACTACGATTTATATGGAGGAGTTAGAGAAGGAATATGAGTCGGTGTTCTCGGGAAAACTGGGGCTGCCACCTTCCAGAACAGGGGATCATGCTATTGTGCTACACTCGGGTGCAAAACCCCCGAATATCAGACCCTACCAGTACCCGCATGCGCAGAAGAATGAGATTGAGCGTTTGATTGCAGACATGACATTGGCCGGAATTATTAGACCCAGCCAGAGTCCTTATTCGAGTCCGGTGTTATTGGTTCGCAAGGACGGAAGTTGGCGTTTTTGTGTGGATTATCGGGAACTGAACAAATTGACCGTGCCGGACAAATTCCCCATTCCTATAATCGAGGAACTGTTAGAGGAGCTACACGGAGCATCTTGTTTTTCGAAGCTTGATCTAAAGAGCGGGTACCACCAAATACGCATGAGGCGGGAAGATGTCGAGAAAACAGCATTTCGGACGCACGAGGGGTACTACGAATTCTTGGTTATGCCCTTTGGGCTTACTAACGCTCCGGCTACCTTCCAAGCAATGATGACCGAGTTGTTCAAGCCATTGCTCAGGAAATTTGTTTTGGTATTCTTGGATGACATTCTAGTTTACAGCCACAGTTCACAGGAGCATTTAGGCCACTTACGAACCGTGTTGGGGTTGTTGAAGGATGGGAGTTTTGTGCTCAATTTGAAAAAATGTTTGTTTTTCCAGGATACCGTGGAATACTTGGGGCACTACATATCCCACGGGGGTGTGACGGCAGACCCAGGAAAGATACGGGCCATGGTTGAGTGGCCCGTCCCAACCACAGTGAAAGGGGTGCGAGGCTTCCTGGGTTTGATGGGATACTATCGTCGTTTTGTGAAGAATTACGGCGCCATCGCACGGCCCTTGACCGAGTTGTTAAAGAAGGGGGAGTTCACTTGGTCGAAGGAGGCGCATCGGGCATTTCAGGAACTTAAACGGCGAATGACGGAGACCCTAATCCTTGCATTACCCGATTTCAAGGACACCTTTGAGGTGGATACGGATGCATCAGGAGCAGGGATAGGGGCAGTCCTATTACAACAAGGGCGACCGGTGGCCTACTACAGCAAGGGGCTGTCGCCTAGGACAATGGCCAAGTCGGTTTACGAGAGGGAACTTATGGCCCTGGTTCTAGCCATCCAGAAATGGAGAGTGTACCTTCTTGGCAGGAAGTTTGTGGTGCACACCGATCAAAAGTCTCTTCGTTTCCTTTTGGAACAGCGAATTAGCAGTCCGGCACAACAAAAGTGGCTGGTGAAGTTGATGGGGTTTGAGTTTGACATACACTACCGAGCAGGAAAAGAGAATATAGTGGCTGATGCGTTGTCCCGTCGAGGTGGTTGGGCACAAGGAGGAGAACTCCTAGCTATCTCAGGGCCCCAATTTTTAGACATGGCATTGGTGGAGCGAGAGAGAGCTGCTGACGCCAAACTTCGCACCCTCAAGGAGCAGTTGAGCCGCGAAGGGGCACAAGAAAGCCACTATGCTGTGGAGCGTGGGGTGTTGCTGCACTAGGGATGGATAGTCATTCCAGCGGGCTCCCAACTCAAACAACAATTGTTACAGGAGTTCCACTCTACTCCGACAGGGGGACACGTGGGGACATTAAGGACGTATAAGCGAATTAGCGCTAACGTGTATTGGCCAGGCATTGCAAAGGATGTGCAACGGTTTGTGGCTGAGTGTGGGGTTTGTCAACAGAACAAGGTGGAGTCAACAAGTCCGGCAGGGTTACTATAGCCACTGCCCATTCCCGAGGCAGTGTGGGAGGATATTTCGATGGATTTTATCGAGGCTCTGCCTAAGTCCAATGAGCATGAGGTCATTTTTGTGGTGGTGGACTGCTTAACCAAATTCGCGCATTTCATCGCTCTCAAGCGGCCGTTCACTGCGAAGTTGGTAGCCGAGGTGTTTTGTCGGGAGGTGGTGCGCCTTCACGGCATACCTCGGAGTATAGTAAGCGATCGGGATAAGGTGTTCACTAGTCTTTTTTGGAGAGCTATTCCACCTCCAACAGACAACCTTACGCATAAGTTCAGCATACCATCCTTAGACGGATGGGCAGACAGAAGTTCTTAATCGTTGCTTAGAGGCATATTTGAGGTGCTTCACCAGTGGCCAGCCTAGGCATTGGAGCAGGTGGTTGTGCTGGGCGGAATACTGGTACAACACCAATTTCCACGGTGCTACTTGCATGACGCCCTTCCAAGCCCTATATGGTCGGGTTCCCCCGACTTTGGTACGCTATACGGGGGGCAAGACTGCAGTGGGCTCAGTGGACATGCAGCTTTTGGAACGAGATGAGCAGCTGAAACAGTTACGCTGCAACTTGGAGCGCGCTCAAGAACGAATGAAGCGCTATGCGGATAAAAAACGGGTGGAGCGGAGTTTCAGGTGGGAGAGCTCGCTTGGCTGAAACTGCAACCTTATCGGCAGGGATCCGTGGCCAGGCGCCCCAGCAACAAGTTGGCCCCAAAGTATCATGGTTCTTTTGAGGTGCTCGGCAAAGTAGGTCCAATGGCATACAGGCTTCGGCTGCCAGAAGGTTCCAGGGTGCACCCGGTTTTCCATGTGTCTATGCTAAAAAAGGTGGTCGGCAGGCGTGCAGTTTCACAGGAACCGGTTGTTGTCGACATCGCGACGGACATTCCCGAACTACTGTTCCCAGAGACCGTGTTACAAGGGCGCCTGAGGAAGCAAGGAGGGCAGCCCCTTAAGGAGGTGCTGGTGAAGTGGCAGGGCCAGGACATCGAGGACGCTACCTGGGAAATGGTTGATGAGTTGCAAGTCCGTTTCCCTACCTTCGACCTTGAGGACAAGGTCTCTTTTGAGGAGGGGAGTAATGTTACAAACGAGCCTAGGAGGAATAAATACGAACGGATGTACTCTAGAGGAGCTCGCAACGTTTTCAGTTGGGGTAGGGATGTGAGTGCGTGAGAAGGGGTGTTGAGCTGGCTTAGACGGTTAGGCCTAGGGAATAGTGCCTAGAGAGTAGGGACGTTAGAAGGGAGTGAGAGGGGAGAAGGAGGGCATGATTATCAAACTAGAATAATTCTTACTGTTGTATTCCTGGCCGAGCTGAGCTCGTGGTTTTCCAGTGATGATTAATGAAACGGATCCTTTGGTTGAGGTTCCTTCGGTAATCTAGCTGTGGTGTTGGTCTGTGTTGCTTGTGTGTGTATATTCTGCTACAGGTACTCAGTGATCCAACAAATTACATCCAATGTATGTCTTTTAACATTTAAAACGAAAAAAAAAGGGAAAAAAAAAAAAAAGAATTTGGTGCTAGGAACGGACCATAATAACCAATGGCGGTTGCACTAACCAAAACTTTCGGTCGAACTCCATCTGGTGAACCATTTATCAAATCTACAGTTCTTGAAATCAGTTAAAGTAGTTTAAGTAAAGTGTTAGAAAAGAAAGCTGAATAAAGGAAAGCTGAATCTTCAATTTCTGTAAAGGACTATGCATAAAATGTTTTCATGACTGCTTACTTTTGACGTGACTCCAACCCTGCTTTGCTTAATCTCCTTCTTTATCTGCAGAACAATTAGAGATTAATAACTTCCACTGTCTTTTAGAATGAATAGTACCTATTCCCTTTTTTGACTCATCACAAAACGCTGCTATTGAAATGAAGAGGCCCAGAGATATAATGCTAAAGTTGTGTGTCATAGAAGACAGATCACAACGTATGAAAAACATAGATATACAAAATATTTTGAATTGTCGGAAAGATGCTACTTAACTGAAGTAGGCCACACATAAAATGGCACGTTTTCTAGTATTATAGCAGACTGACCAATAATTTCATGTACTGATATCAACAAGAAGAAATCTGCTTGACACGATTAGATTATATTTTTATTTGTTAGAGTGTCTAGGGAAGGGAATGAAGAGAGACGGGATAGTGATAGGTGTTGAGTCTCACTCGCAATAAAAATTGAACCCTGTAACGAAATGATACTAACCTCAGAAGACCATCTTGTACTTATGGGCAGTCCAGCCAAATTTACAACACCATCTGAACCTTGAATGCAGTCTTTCCACTCTGGCTCTTCTGCAATCTTGATTCCTGGAAAGTTCCTGACTAAAAATGCCAGGGGAATGTTCAAAAACAAGTATATGATAGAGCTCTTTGAAAAACAAAAAAGTGAAAAAAATTAAACTTTGCCCACTATTCTAAACGACATTATGATAAAAGAGAAATTAAGCTATTGAAAGTTCAAAGACATTTTGAATATAATTCTGAAGAGCAAACCTTGGTTTGATCAGAAGCACACCAAACTCTGAGTCTCTTAGCCTCAAACCTCTAAACCCAGATTAACCTTCGACGATGGAGATTTCGATGAACCTTCGACGATGGAAGAAGAAATGGTTACTAGGGTTTTAGGAGCAGCTGAGAAACTAGACTGTGACAGAGGAGAAGAACGGCAAGAAAAAGGCTTCAGCCATTTATGGATCCGAAACCCTAACGACCTCTCTCCCATCGCTGTCGTACAGAAGCGAGCCCATCATCCAGTATTCGACGCTGTGCTGCCGCTTAAGGCCGGAGTTCTTCGGCCAGGGCAGCCACGTTTGGGTGGTGACCGGCATCTAGCCGGAGCTCCAGCGGTTGAGCATGCCGACGTTGAAGCGGCGGGGGAGATCGTAGAGGAACAGGAGAGGAACAGGACCGCGAAGAGCAAAATTTTTTTGGGTCTGGAATTGTTTTCATTCAGCAGGGGTAAAATCGTAATAACGAAAATTTCATTAAAGAGGTTTTCTAAATTGCCGCACAATCTAGAATCAAAAGCAGCACAAAGGCTGCTTCTGATTTTGGCTTCAAATTCTCCCCAAATTCTTTCAGAAGCACTTTTTTATGTTTTTACTAAACGTAAAAAATAACTTTAGCTGGTTAGATAATCTATTTTGAACTCTCAAAATCCCTACCAAACTAAGCCTATAGCTCATTGGACCCCACTAAGTGAGCAAGTACATATCATTCCCTGCAATGTGGGGGCACTTTTCACTCCAATGCTACACGTAAGATATTTATTATTTATGAAATGATCGATACAAATTGTATGGAATTTTTATATATCTGAGAAAACAACGAATGACGTCAAACTTGATAGCAATAGCTTCAAGTAGATTTGCATTATTCTTACGGAAGAAATCGTACCCAAAAAAGAAAAAAAGGAAAAATACAACATACTTTTAATGGCATAGACTCGGGCTTTGATACACAGAGACGTGCGAATTCAGTTTATTGGAATTGATTTATATTGTTGGATAGTAGAGGTTATAGCCTGTTCAACTGGTAGTCTCTCCATGCTAGAAGCACCGTAAAACCCATGAACTCCTGTTGTTCTCTTCAGTATAAATTCTGCCTCTTTAGGACCAGATATAGGACCTGAAAGTCGCATTATGCAATCATATGTAAGATTATTTTGATGTCACCAGTATTCTGAAAAGAACCTTCGAAAGTTTCTGAGTGGTGAAATAGAAAATGACCAAATATTAATACATGTGGACGGAAGTACAACGGAAATTCAAATTAGAAAAGGCTTCCAAGACGGTACCTCCATGGCACAGCACAATAGCATTAGGATTGATCCTAAGAGCAGCATCTGCAATTTCTTGTACACGAATTACACTTTTGTCCAACGAGACTGCTGTTTTTGCACCTATAGAGCCAGATGTAGTTAGTCCCATATGGGCCACTATTATATCAGCCCCAGCTTTTGCCATTTCCACAGCTTCATCTTGGTTGAAAGCATATGGGGTCGTCAAGAGACCCATCTTATGTGCTTTTCCAATCATCTCAACCTCCAAGCTGATTTTTTAAAATAACAAAAGTAACAGCTGTGTAAATGCACAAATTACTAGTACTAGTGATAACATTGTGAAAGTTTTCCGTCATAAAACATGTAAATCTTCTTGGAAAACCTACCCATATCCCATTCCCGTTTCTTCAAGATTCTGTCTAAAATTTCCGTCAAAAAGCCCTACAGTTGGAAAATTTTGCACCCCAGCAAATCCAATTGACTCCATCTGCTTCAAGAAGAAATCCATTCGGCGAAAAGGATCGGTACCACAGACGCCAGCAAGAACCGGTACCTTCTTCACCACCTATACTTATTTATAAGCTTGAAATCAGGGAAAAAAATGCTTCCAAAAAATACACAAAGCACGCAGCCAGTTGAAACTTACAGGCAACACTTCATTTGACATGTCAAGTACCACAGCATTTGCATCAGCAAAAGGCAACAAGCCTGCTAATGAACCCCTTCCTGCCATACGAAATCGCCCCGAATTGTATATGACTATTAGATCAACACCACCAGCTTCCTCAAACTTGGCAGAAATCCCCGTCCCTGCACCAGCCCCTATGATTGGCAGCCCTTTATTTATCTGATCTTTAAGTTGCAGCAAAATGGCCCAAGTTCTTTGTAAAGTTTCTGTAACAAAAGAAACATTTACAAGTTAGATCTTAATCCAAAACGGTACTAAGATATTTAAATTAGCAGAAAAGTGCAAAGCCTGGAGTTACTTTCTACTATGGCAGGTAAACAGAAGAGTTTAAAATACAACCTGGCCTTGCGTCTGGAAAGTCACTTGGGCTTCGAACAATGATACCATCACTTTTTGAGACACCATTTTTGAGAACATGTTGTTTCGATTCACTAACACTATCTCTCAGAGAGCTGGAATCCGTAGAATTCCTAGTACTAATTTCCAAAAATGAGTTGACCAGTTCATTTGCAAACTCAGGATCATTAATATGATGAGGGTATACATTTACCTAATAAAATCACACAATTGCATGGCAGTATTAGTGCGGTCATGTACATGAAACGTGGTAAAGGCACAAAATTGGAGCTGCTATACAAAAAATTTGAGAGGCAGTTCAATACCTGCCGATCTTCATTAGTCAGAATCAGCCTCTTCAGTTCATCTATAAGGGCAGTTGTGCCCTCAGGATCATAAAAGGCCTTCCCTTGTGCATCCAAAGCAGAGACACCCTTTTGTGGTAGGCAAACACGGACCTTAGAAGACGACTTGTTAAGTTTAGATGATATGAAGCTAGCAAATTTCTTGTTCTCATCGACTGTGGTTCGCATGAGTGAAATCTGGACTGGAAGAAACCAAATCAGTTTCATAAAAAGGCATCCAAAATCGAAATATTGACACAATCTTTTGCACCACCAAGAAAACTGAAAGTACTTCGATGCCAAGTTATATGCAAGGACAACATAAGGAAAGTCTAAATGCTATGAAGCTAGCAAATTTCTTCTTCTCATCGATACTGGTTCGCATTGGTGAAATCTGGACTGGCAGAAACCAAATCTATTTCATACAAAGGTGAACCAAAACTGAAAAGGAGACCTAATCAAACCGAGAGCATTCCAATGCAAAAGGAAATACAAGGACAACATAAAGCTAAAACAGGCTGTAGAGACTTATCACCTGCTTATTATGTTCATGAATCTTTCTGTGTTGGAAATCAGAAGGTATCGTATCTTTAGGTCCGAAGGTCACCATATCCAAAGCACCCACACTGAGGACTAAAGGAACCCTTTTTTCAATAATGGCATCAAAGCGAGAACTGTCGCAAGCCATGACGCCTCCAACTACATGGTCCGCAACCTCTGTTGTAGTTATATCCAAAACACCCTGATAAACAAACCATATTAAAACCATGGTAGCAGAAAAAAGTCGCAAACTTTATCCAGAATTCTAGCTTAAACTGGTAATTAATGGCTAATGAGTATCTAGATTTTGCAAAGAAACCTACATCCTGAGCAAATCCACAAGTCAAACCAAGTCCAATCTTTTCCTAACAGAGCAATAACACATTTGACACCATTTTTACATGGCAAATTCTTTTTGATTGACAAGAATATTTGAAGATTTTCTCCTAATCATGTTCATGTCATACTCAGAAGAACTACCAAACAGAAGATTCCTAATTTAATTATAATATATATATATATATATATATATATTCTAAACTCAAGGACACGCTCAGAAGTTAGAACCACTGAATGAGAAGTAAAATTTTTGTACCTTTATAAATCCCTCTCTAACCAGAGACTCCATGGCTCTCCCTCCAACGCCAGTGGCATGAAAAACCAGCGTCTCGTAACCTTCTTTGACCAGCCTCTCTTTCACAGCGTTCACGCACGGAGTTGTGACTCCAAACATGGTCAATCCAACCGTGAATTTCCCATCACCGCCACGACATTCTCTTTCTCTCTGTAGCCTCCCGATTACCATTCCGGCGAAAGCAGCTCCAGCGTTCGACAAAACGACTCGACTCACACTGTTGATTCCGCAAACATCGACAATCGACGGAAAAAGGACCAAATCGGAGGGTCCGATGTAACCTTCGGTCTGACCGCTCGCGACGGTGGAGACGATGAGCTTAGGGATTCCGATTGGGAGCGACCTCAGGGCGTTGGAGATCAGCGAAGTCCCTCCGCTGCCTCCGAGACCGATCACTCCGACAACGACGCCGTTTTCATTCTCTCTCTTCAGGAAATTCTCCAGAGCTCTGCTCATAACGCCAATGGCTTCGCCTCTGTCATCGGGAAGCCTAATCGGAGCTTCATCCGTCGATTCGGAATGGCAAGAGAGAATCTCCTTCCTCGTAACGAACGCGAAATCGCCGAATTTCTCGGTCTTGGTCTCCTTCTCGCTCGCTGAGACGTCAACAATGGCGACCTCCACCTTGAACGAGGAGTTCCCGGAGAAGCTCTTGAGACTCGACCGGACGACGTCGGCGAGGAATCGGAGCTCCTCGTGCTTCGTGTCGGCGGTTCCGATGCAGAAAACTCGGCGAGTTTTGGGCATTTTTGGATTTCACGGTAATAAGGAACTGATTCAGAGCTTTGGAATTGAGAAAATTGGCTCTCCTCTTTTGTTGTTCTTTTTTCTGAAAATGGAAGTAAGAGGAGTGAGCTTAGGAGGTGTTCGTTTGGTGGACTCAACTTGAGTAAGCCCGACTCAAGTTGATTCCACAGCCCAAATTGTTGTTTGGTGAACTCCGTTCGAATTATAATTCAAACCACAATTCGAGTTAATGTCCGTGAATTGAAATTCAACCACCGATTGAATTCCATTAACTCGATCCTGGAGCTATAGTACCCGAGTTTTGTAAAACTCTGCTATTCTCTCTTAGATTTTTTGCATGCCTTACCGTTTCTTTATCTCGTTCATTCGTTTTCTTTCCTCTTTCTCCGACAGCTCTCTCTTCTCTACCCATTCCCATCATCTACAGCGTTGATTCCCTGATTCGACGAATATAACCCCGTGTGGTGAAGTTGCAACCCAAATCTTGTTTTGTTTGAGCCAGATCTTATTCCGTTTGAGCCAGATCTTATTCTATTGACCGAGGACACCTTTCCTCGCCGTTCATCAGTTTGCCCAAAACGGAGAAAATAGCTTCAAGTAGCAGTTCCTGACGTCCTCTACTGGGCGTTGTTCTGTGTAGATGTCTCCGCCACCGTCGATCTCAACCTCTGCACTGCCGTAATCAGTGGAGATATTGTGTCGATCGTAGATGGCGGTGGAGAATTTTTCGTACTTCATCGGAATCACGTTTGGGGCTATTGATGGAGGAGCATACTCGTTCTTCCACCGGATCGAACATGGTAAACCCTCATCGCTTTGCCATACAATTTGTGAGATTTGGTTACACATTTGAACAAATGTTAATATAAAAGTTCATAACCCCTACACATTGCACGTTGTTTTGTGTAAAAGATGCATGTTAAACTGCTTCTAGACCCTTTAGAGTTCATAACCCCTACACATTGCACGTTGTTCAGTGACAACCACCTCTAAACTAGCATTTGTGTCTTTCCAAAATCCTAGAAGTTGTTAAAATCTAGTAAAACTAAGATGAACTTTTAGGGAAAAAAAAAGGACCGCAACCTCTTACAATAGCATGGAATCAATTGCCTTAGTGTGAAGAAATATAATAAAATTATTGAATCCATAAATAAACTTGAATTTTACCCATTCGATCTATGAAAACATGAACATTGAAGTTAACTATATGGTTGGAGAACAGAGAAAAAGAAACTAACATGTTAAATGAATTTGTTGAACGACATATTTGTCTTGAGCTTTGTACTAAGCAATGTGAGTGGTGTTTCCTATGTTATCATCGTCTTCTTCTGAAACTCTACTAAACCTACCAACTAAGACCCCATTTTATTTGAACTAGAAAGACAAAGCATGATTAGGACATTTATGTTTGACAACTTACCAGGAATGCAAATGATGCCGGTGCCTTTGTCAATATCAATCTCAAAATCTTAGAAGTTCTTATTACAATATCAATCCCAAGTATACAAGTAGAAGCTGAATAGAAAGGAAAATCCAGTAAAACTAAGATGAACTTTTAGAGATGAAAAATAAATAAGTAAATTCAAAGAAGTTGTCTTTCGTTTAGAAGGATTGGACTTGGCTCACTTTCAAAGTTAAGTGAGGCCTCCTCAAAACATTCTTTGTGCGACAACATACATTATCATGCTGGCTATGGAGATATACATACATATCTGTTGGACATATTAATAGATACGGCATGCTGACTATGCCAATAATGCTCATACCATGTCTCCGATCCTAATATTGCTCCCTCTGTACATATATGTGAGTTCACACATTGCATTGTTGTGCAGATGAACTCTTTGTTCTTATTGGATTTAGTACTTTGGTAGTGATGATTTTTTTGGCATATCAGATCCGTTGTAGCGATATCCTTTTAGTTTTTGGCATTTATCAGTTGCTATTGCATATAATTAGGTTTTGTTGGATTGAATGTCATGTGTTGTCGTTTGTTATTGCATTATGACCTATGCTTTTAAATCTCTGGCCTATTACTATGTGGTTTGATAGCATAAGTGTCATTTCAAGAGGATAATGCTTTGAAACTGAAATGATATTATTGTAACCAAATCTAAGCCAATCAAAAGATTATGTGCTTTAATCCTCTTTCTTCTTTGTCATCGCATATGTCGCTTCCCAGCTAATTCATTGCCATGTGGCCGATTCCGGTTCAATTGTTTGCATGAGTCATCGTCTACAAGTTTTACATCCATGGTATGAAAGTGATTTTTGAGCGCCTCGATGAGATCCGGTCAACATTTGAGTGAGGGTGTACGTGGTCTCTTTCACACAGAATATTAACTCAAAAGCCAAATCTAACAAAATGTAATTACAAAACAACCCCGCCGCGAGTATATGCGCTGCTGACCTCCAGCACTTGCTGACGTCCTCTTTAGACATCGCCATGACCATTATCTGGTGAGTGCATGCGGCAACGAAATGAGGTGAATTCTACTGTTAAGCTTGGACCTTTCCCTAATTAACCCGTTGCGTCTAATGGTAGGGTCAATTTTGACCAAATCTGTCTCTTAAGTAGTAAATCAGACTTAAAGTTTCCAAGAAAATTGGCGACTTGAATTTCCATTTTCTGGTTGTGGAACTTCAAAATTGGTTGAGAGCTTTTGTTTCCTATGATCCTGAGCATTTTGCTAGCAACGACACATTATATGATCGTCGAAAACGATAGACTCATTCTCACCCACGGTGACCTAATTACACAGGTCTAATGGCAGTGTTCCGACAAGAATTGACAGGTGATGTTAGATGGATTTTGTTCGTCTCGTCGTTTTGATTCCATGGAGACCGAAATTACCTTGATCTGAGGTTGGACGACAAAGTTACAACTATTTGAAATTCACTTATTTTTCGGACTTTCGTTGGCGAATGTGGCGGTTTTCCGGCCAAGGTGGATGTCGCACGGCACGTCAACGAACTCAGCTCGTCAAGATCCTTTTGATGGTATGAGTGGTGTCAAAAACCACGCCGAAAACTCCATTAGGAGTGGCGACCAAAAACAGAAAAGAAATAAGCTTTTTGGATTTTTTTTCCTTTTTTTAAAAGTTAGATAGTCTTTATTTTAGTTTCTATATGATCAATTATCTTGGACTGTTCATTTTTTATTTGAGTATGAAAATAAATTCACCCTACGATTGGGTGAATTGGCTCACCCAACTATAGACCTCTTCTTTTTTTTTTCTCGATTTATATGATCATAGTTTTATATACATGATGTCGTCAAAGTTGTTTTTTTTTCCTCTTTTAAAATGTATTTTTGTATTTGTTTATACTTCAGACATATTGTGGCTGTGGGAGGTTTTTCGGTAGTTTCATAAAAAAGTGCATCCAAAGGCGCACAAACTGACAAAAGAAAACAAAACAAATCAGGAAAAAAAAAATCCTTGTCAACAACCAATCCAATTAGCGTAAGTAGCCCGTTTAGCTGAGTCCAAAAACATTTTTCAACAGCACATTATATAAATAATTAGACGAATAAATCAAAGTTATGATACCACTTATTATACCAAACAAAAACATAAAATAAAATCTAACACACATCAATAATAATAAAGCATAAAGAAATATACCAGAGAAAATAAAACATAAACAAAATAAAAGCTTCATGATTTGAGTTTTTGTGTTTTATCTAATAAAATAATAAATAAAACATATGAGATCACATTCAGTGAAAACACGTAAAAAAGACATAATAAAGATGCGAGGTGAAATTTTAAGATTGTCAGTTTTCCATATAAGATTTAACGAGATTTTAATGGAAGGATTAAATTTGAAACTGTTAGTCAAAATATGGATAATACAAAGAAAAACAATAAATATAGCAAGATGAGAAACGAAAATTGTACAATGCTTATTCAACCTTAATAGGACCGGCAATATGGGTCACGACACGACGACACGACTCGAAAATGACACGAATTTTACAGGTTAGGGTTGAGAAAAAAGAGGTTCGGGTCAGAATTGGGTCGACTTTAAATTGACACGAAAAATACGGGTCAATTTCGGGTTGGACCCGCCTAACCCGAATACGACACGAAACTCGTAAAAAACTAAAAAATACATATATTTTTCATTTTATATTTTAAATTTTATTATGAACTTGTGATATCATGATAGTTATACTAAAATTCTTATACTATTATTTACTTAATTTCAATGGATGTTATTGTAATTTAGTGTGTTATGAATTTTAAGTTATTTCTAATATGTAAAAAATTAAATAAAAGTATACAATTTTCGTGTCAATTTCGGGTTCACGGGTCAATTTCGTGTCACGGGTCATTTTCAGGTCGTGTCGTGTCAACTCGTAAAGTGGTCGTGTCGTGTTCGTGTTGCGGTTTTTAAAAAATTTCGTGTCACGGGTCATATTCGGGTTGACTGCAAATTTAAAAAAAATGATCAAAACACGACACGAGCACGACATGTGACACGAATTGCCACCCCTAAACCTTAGTACCAAAACTCGGAAATGAAAGTTGCAAGGATGTCGAGGCACGTGAACTACGTTTTTCTTAAAACAGATTCGTCCCCTCCGGCGTGTGCTTGAGGTTACGTTGGACGTCCGTCTCCCATGATACAATGACAACAACGATAGTAGCTCGATACACTTTCAGAACCATCCGGCGAACTCGAACTTGGACCTTCCATCTATCACCAAACCGAACTACAAAGAACACAAAAACTGGAAAAAGAAGGAAGAACTCGTGGAAGAAGAGCTGATTGTGTTTCTGTGCAAGTGTTATCCTTCTTCATGTGGAAGACGCCTTTTATAGGCTCTGGAAAATAGGTTATGAGACCAGGAAATCAAAGGTCTTAATCACCAATTTAATTGTGCAAAAACGTTTCATGAACCAGACCACAATTCACATCTAGGTTGATGGAGAAAACTGGCTCAATAACCAGCCATTAACAACACAATTAAACTCGGCATTAAGCATCCCATTAAGCCTTCATTAATCTCCATTAAGCTCCAAACGGTTTTGCCTGAATCTGGAAAGTCTTGGCCGAGTACAAAATAAAAATTGTAAAAGTAAGCTCGCATGGAGCAGGTTTTCCGGTCCGGCATTCATGTCTGCAGGTCGCGGGTACACACATTAGGCCCTAACCCGCCGGGATCGTAATTTGCACCCCCCCTGTGCGTGAGAGAGCCTCTCTGGTATACATGCTTACCTAGGCTTCAAAGTGCAATCACTTATAAACACCACCTGGCCTTCACTCCTAGCCAATGTAGGATTTTTGTAATTTTCTTATACATTTACCATTCCAAGTAACATACTTAGACCATCAATTTCTCATTCACCCAAAAATCATTTTGAGTGTATGAATACTCGATTTCGATCTCCTCACGACGGAGAACGCAAATCCATCAAGACCCTTTCTAAAAACCTATTGGGTCTCATCCGAATATGAGCCTCAAAATGGGCCTTTAAAATGGCTT